GGAAGACCTCTTTTTAAAAATGTTAGTAGAATTTTAAAATATAAGTTGTATCAGAAAACTACTAATGACTATACCTCAAAATATAATATTGAGAAGATGATTACTTAAAGCTCTGCACAGTACAGAACTGTAGACTACTTGTAATGAGAAACTCATCTACCTAAGGCAACAAACCAAGGAGCCACATATACAGAAAAAAAGGGCAGATTTAATTACACAAATCTTCAAATCTTCACGTAAACAACAGATTGAGAAATGCCTTCCAATTTTAATAAGCAAAATGTCAAATGTCTCATCAACAAATTTAAAGGAAAAACAGCTAAGCTGGTGAAATGACTGCCTGGCATGCATGAGGTCCTGGGAGAGTGCACCAGTATGGCATAAAACCAAGGCACACACCTGTTATCCACCTCTAGGGAGATGCAGGCAGGAAAATCAGAAGTTCAGGGTCGTTCTCTGCTACTGAGTAAGTTACGTGCCAGAGTCGGCATGTAACATGGGACCCTGTGTAAGAAAAGAAGGGGTAGAGGGAGGAGAAGAGGGGGGAAAGGAGGAGAGGGAAGGAGGGAAGGAGAGAGAACACATACCAAAAATGTGACCAAACACCTTATAATCCCAGCACTCAGGCATCACAGCCAGGAGGATGGAAAGGGCAAGGCTAGCCTGGGCTACTAGTGAGCTTGAGGCCAGCCAAACACCCAGAGACCATCACGGAGGGGAGGGGTAGCAAGGAAGGGAAGCACCTCTCCCTCTAAGGAGAGTTTCTAAGCAGCTGCTGCCTTCTGCTGCTTCTTTAGCCCTTCAGTGTGCCTGCGCTCATCTCACACCTCACCAGTTCCTCCAACTCCTCACCTTCAGGCCTCAGTGCTGACTAGCTGTTGATCTCAGCATTACAAATTCAAGACTTCTGAGGAATCTTTTCTCTTTGGCCAGGCTGTGGGCCAGCTACCCCTTGGAACTGGCTGCCATTCTACCATCCCCCACCACCCCTCATCCTCTTCTGAGGGTCTTACATGGTCCATGCTGTCCTCTAACTATGTAGCCAAGGATGAGCTTGAGAAGTCCTGAGCCTTCCTGCTTCCACTGAGTACTGGGATTACAGGCAGGTACCACCATACTTGACTTAAAGTGGGGTTTAGATTGAACCCAGGGCTTTGTGCACACTGGGCAAGCACTGAACCTGCCGAACTACACTCCGCTCCAACAACTGAAAGTACACAACTAAACTAATTTTGCAACACTTTAAAAAAGAAGACCTGCCAGGACTTGTTCACTGTAAGGGGAAAAGATGCAAGCAGTTCTACATTCCAAATATGCAGAGTCAATCCTGGGCTGTGGACACAGCTCAGTAGTAGAGCAGCTGCAAACAGGGGTATGATCCCTTGCGCTGCCAAAACCAATTATTGTTCACAGAGGGAATCCTCTGGGCTGCAATCACTGGTCAACAACAATGGCTTATAACTCGATTTTTACAAGCTTTCTGCCAAAGTCCTGTACACATACAATGTAAAGATATGAGTAGCCCAATCATTACCTACAAGTACCTTTATACAAGGATTAGCACACAATGGCAATCTATCACCAACCAAAAAAACCTGTTTCTCTTCCTCCAAGCTAAGAGGACTTGAGGACTGAAAAGGCCACTGACTCAAGAGTTCTCGTGCTGGGAAAAAGGGGTGCAGACCATGAGATGGGCACTCTGCTCAAACCAGATTCTCAGCATTTTTACAAACTAGAAAAAAGTCAAATTACATGCCTCTTCTATCTAGGAGGACACTCACTTTCCTTAAAAATGAAACATATTTGAAAGGAGAGGATAATTCATTCACTGAGAATAGTCACAGATTCAACCTTCGCTGGGAAGAAATACTGTCAGAAGGGTAAAGCTTTGGAATAGCGTTCTTTCAGAAGAGCAAATGAAAAGAAATTTTCTTTGCGGGGTTGTTTTTGTTGGAAATAAAAAACCTCACGTAGCCCAAGCTGGTCCCAGACTCACACTTCCGACCTTCCTGCTTTCACCTCCTCAGTGGTGGGGCTACAGCGTCCCAAGTACCAGGTTTACACAGTGCTGGAGATGAAACCTATGGCCTCCTGTGCATGAGGCAAGCAATCCTCCAACCAGATTCCCAGCCCAAAAATATATTTTCCAATTGCCAACCGTCCTTTACTTCCCAGTGTAAGGGAGAGGGGGTCTACTGTGGAATCATAGATGGTATTTGTTAGCCAACATATTTACTAACTATCCTTGCTGGTGACTCACGCTAGTCTCAGCAATGCTAATAAGCAGCTGGCTGTAATATAATTACCAGTTTAGATTACTGTTAATAAACATATAATCTTAACGTCTAACTCAGAAAAAAGAAAATGGCACAGTTGAGAGTACTGAGGTTGTCCTCAGAGGAGGCTTGAAAAAAAAAAAAAAGGAGTATTAGGACAGTTCCATTGATCACTAAAGACGTGGGGTTATGTGTGCCTATCTTTAGTAAAATTTCCTAAACTTTAAACGGTAACATTAATTAAAATGTCTTGAGAAATGTTTAGACAAATCATATATCCATATTCTCACTTATTTTAATAACTGGAGCAAGCAATAAAGAAAGAAAATCCATATGGAATACCTGCATTTCTAGAGTTCAACATACTGATTTCTTTCCAAAGAAATTTTGGGAATGATTTACATGATGTGCCTATTTATACCTGTCAAACTAATAAAAATAGGGGAAAAATGAAAAAGCATTGATTCCTCGCTCTTTCACTGGAAGCTAAGTATAGTAAGCCAAAAACTAAAAAGAATGGCTGAACAATCAAAATTAAGACACACAGAAGACAGGAGGTATTATACACCAAAATGCTCACCTTTCTGTGGAAGTAATCGATAAATACTATCTAGAGATGATCCCTCAAGAAAAATAAATGAGGGCTGCAGAGATGGCTTAGCAGTTAAGAGCACTGACTGCTCTTTCAGAGGTCCTGAGTTCAATTCCCAGCAACCACATGGTGGCTCACAACCACCTGTAATGAGATCTGATGCCCTCTTCTGGTGTGTCTGAAGACAGCTACAGTGTACTCATACAAATTAAATAAATAAATAATTAAAAAAAGAGAAAGAAACATAAATGCAACGTTTTGAGGGGTGTGTGTGTGTGTTGTGACATGGGTGGGGTCGGGGTGCCACAGTGGCCAGAAGAGGGTATTGGGTCCTGGTACTAGAGTTGCAGGAAATTGTGAGTCACCTGACACAGGTTCTTTAAACACAATTTGGATATTCTGGAAGGGCAGCAAGTGGTCTTAATGGCTGAGCCATCTCTCCAGCCCCATAAATGCAACCTTTAAAATAATAAATGCAGCCTGCAAAAGAACCACAAGCTAGCCACCAACAGTAGAGCCTGTGGAGACGGAAGGGTGAGAAGTCACACATTTACACCTGTATACAACGTGCACTTTCTTACCATGTGCTTGTATTTATACTGGACTCCAGTTTGTAAGCCTGCCAACTAGACAGCTTCTTAAAAATCCACTGTATCCTCTATACCTAATAAGCCACAGGCTCTTAACTTTGTAAAATGGAACCTACTCTAAAGCAGTATTTCTCAACCCCAGGATCTAGACCCCTTTGGGGGCTCCAACAGGAGTTGCCTAAGACCATCTAAAAACACAGATATTTACATTACAATTCATAACAGTAGCAAAATTACAGTTATAGTAGCAACAAAAATAATCTGGGGTCACCACAACATGCAGTATTAAACAGTTGCAGCATTTCGAACGACTGCTCTAAAGTAAATCTCTCTCAAATTATCAGAAAGGTGGGTGTTTGTCCTTGGAGGGGGAGCTGTGGCTCTTTCAATCTTGCAAAGTCTGTTCATGAACCAAGATGGCTAAAGCAGCTATTTATGACAACTACCAACTTTTTTAAAAATTCAAAGAAAAAAATTTTAATGCATTTTCAGAGACTATTTTAAAGTCAAAACCTCTCTTTCCCTTTGTTTTAAGTAAAAAGAACATCGTCTACTGAAAATTCTACAAAGTAGTCCTGAATCAATGTCTAAGGCTGGAAGATAACACACAAACCTAAGGCCACATGTACACATTAAGACATGTGGCGCTCCAGTTCCTTTGAAAGGAAAACAGGAAAGAACTGTGAAGGTTTGCTATCTTCACTGATCCCCTCAGGAATTCGAAAGCACGTACAGCTCTTAACCTTGTAGTATTTGAAGCTTTTAAAAGCAATTTATTTCTGCCTAGACAAGCAGTGGGGTCTTCTGTTAATTCCTACTCTCCAGTCTTTATGCTCACGCTAGCCTTTCACTTCAGCTGAGATCCTAAATTATCTCAAACCATAAACTGAATTCAAAGGAGAGGAAGAACTTTATGACAAATCACGATAGAAAATGATTTGGCTGTGACCTCAGAATTGGATTACTTTTGGCAGAGACATTAGTAGAAACGTTTGGTGACCAAGTGGAGTAAAGATCGTTTCTAGAATTCAAAGCCCTGGCTTCTCACCTTTCTCGATATCTCGCCCTAACTTCCAAAATATGGGTCAGCACATTTGCCCCTTAATTCTGACCACGACTAAGGATCCAGTGCACATCCTTTAAAAAGTACCGACTTTGGTACTAACTCAAACACCTATACCGGCTCTCTGACCATAGTCCAGTCTTATTTCATGAACTCTCCCACGGCGAAGGATAGATATAAACCTGATTTATAAAATCGGAGGCTACAGGCCTGTCTGTAATGAAAGGAGCCAGCTAACGAAGCAGTCCAGGCTTGCGAGCCCACAGTAGTGAGTGAACAGAGGCTTCCCTCGAAATCCTCAATCCACCCAGTCCCGAAACAGTTGCAAATTTCTCCGTCAGCTGATTTGTCCTCCCCTCCGGTTGCACCCACTCTCCTCCGCCGAGTCCTGGGCGACCTACACTCCTTCGTCCCGGGTGCCACAACCGCGCCTCTCGCCGACCCCACGATCGCTCGGGCCCCTGAGCGCCAACACTCACCCGCGGTAGTAGGCTTTCACCCGGACCTGGTGGGAATGGTCCCCGCCGCCACCGCACGCGACCGTGTGGGACATGGTGCTGCTGTCCCTCTGGGTCGGCATCTCCTCACTCCCCCGCCTCGCCGCTGGAGGCCGAGGGGGCCGGGGCAGCGCCGGGCGCCGCGAGGGTCTCGGCCTCCCGAGCCTGTCGAGAAGCCGTGGCCGCCCTCCTCGGCGACCAACACGCCTAGCCCGCGGCGCGGAGCGAGCGAAGGGTCGCCTCGCCGCCACAGCCCGAGCCCCGGCGCTCCTCCCTCCGCCCTGCACAACACGCCTCCCGCCACGGCTCCTCCCACCACGCTCGCTCCCAAGGCCGCATTCCGCGGCAGGGCGGGCTCCGGAGCCGCTGAGCTTCGGAGCTCTCATCCTTACGGGAGGAGGAGAGGCTAGCAAAGGAAACGAGATCCGCCGGCCTACCACCAGACGCTCTGAAATGGATACATCCCTGGAAGTAAACTAAAGAATTATAAAAAGAGGTCTTTAAACGGAAAATTTTCTACAATATAAAGTACAGAGCACCCACGCTTAAGGTTGTTTCCCCTATTCTTGTATTTGGTCTCGTCCCAGCTAGCCCGCCACGCTTCCGGGATGTATTTGCTGCACGGGATTCTGGGATTTGGAGTCCCGGTGGGATTCTGGGACTTGTTCCTTAAGTGTAGGGTGCCGCGTTTTCTGTCTTGTGCTTCCAGGGAGTTGTAGACATGGAAGTCCTGAAAACAGCTTGAGTATCTGAGGCCACTGGAAACATGGCTTCGTCAAGATATAGAGTTAGTTTCCAGTTAAATTCTCCATGTCAATTTCATCGATCATTGAAATTAAACAGTGCCCTTTTGGGGGAACAAGATTTGATTACCTGCTCAGCATATTCCTTTATGGGGAGAATTTAATAATATAGGTAGAAAAAGCATTAGTGACTGCAACGAAAGACGAAACTCAGTTGGGAGATAGCACAGAAGAGAGACTTCTTCAAGGTCCCATACCCAGGCTCCCGTCTCCCTCACCTCCCATACTTCCATTCTATACAACAAAGCATACCTGTGAATCCTTAGCTGGCTTATGAGTTCATTAGCACTTATTGTCGAGAATTAGAAATAATCCGTCCTTTAACTTACTTTCAGACTTCCTCGGATCTTGTGTGTCTCACTTAACTTTACCCTTTAAAGTAGCTTGAATCCAGCCACCAGGTCAGCGTAGATAGCAACATGTGCAAAGAGTTGAAATAAGCAAAGATATGGCTTTCTTTCCTCCTTTCTTTCTTTCTTTCTTTCTTTCTTTCTTTCTTTCTTTCTTTCTTTCCTTCTTTCTTTCTTTCTTTTTTTTGTTTTTTTTTTGTTTTGTTTTATTTTTCGAGACAGGGTTTCTCTGTATAGCCCTGGCTGTCCTGGAACTCACTCTGTAGACCAGGCTGGCCTCGAACTCAGAAATCCGCCTGCCTCTGCCTCCCAGGTGCTGGGATTAAAGGCGTGCACCACCACTGCCCGGCAAGATATATTTTTCTTTTTGTTGTTTGTTTGTTTGTTTTTGGCTGGTGAGAGGTTTTCTCTGTGTTGTCTGGAACTCATTCTGTAGACCAGGCTGGACTCAAACTCAGAGATTCCCCTGCATCTGCCTCCTGAGTCCTGGGATTAAGAGCATGCATCACCACTACCCAGCAGCTTTCTTTATAATCATAAATTAGATTTGGTTGCTTGCCTCATCAGAGTTACTATGTACAACACTTAGCTTGGTATAGGTTCAACCAACATCCACAAATTCGGAGTATATGAAAATTTCCACTAAATAACATTTTTTTAACAATTAGAGGCTACATCATCAATATGGATTGATTGCTATCAACTGTAATGTCTAAAATAAGATGGTCATTTTTTTAAATTACTGTTTTATGTATGACCACCACATATGCGCCTCGTTCCTGCAGAGGCCAGAAGAGGGCGCCAGATCCCCTGGAATTAGAGTTTCAGATGGTTGTGAGTTGTGGGTGGGTGCTGGGAATCAAACCCAGGTTCCCAGGAGAAACAGCCAGTGCCCTTAACTACTGAACTATTGCTCCAGTCTGAGATGGCCAGTTTTTAATTGCATTATTGAAACTTTTTTATGCTTTGTGGCAAGTCTAGAATTATATAAAGCTCTAGAAAAATTAGCTGACATATAAGAAGTAGATATTTATAAAGAAATAAAAGGTAATTCACAGAAAATTCTTTAAAAAAAAAAAAACCTTATACCTTACCACTTTTGAAAAAGCTGTCATCATTGGCTTCATAGTATGGTTTTAAAGGTGGCCACTGTTACCCAAGAACTTTTTAACTACTTACTGTGTTAGCTATACACATCTGTAACTATAATTTGTATAAATAGCAACACACATACACAAATACCTTTTCTTAAAGATGATAACTTTAAAAACAATCATTTCAGAGGCTGGAGAAATGACTCAAGCATTTAGAGAACTCACTGTTCTTCTGGAGGACCTGGGGGCTGTGACCCAGCAACTGCATAGTAGCTCACAGTGGTTTGTAACTCCAGTTTCAGGGGATCTGATGCCCTCTTCTGGACTTTGTGGGCACCAGGCACAGATAGTGTGCCTATATGGAGGCATAACAGCCGTATGCATAAGATTAAATTTAACTAAAAAAGTTGCATTCCTTTTATTGGGAGTGGGGCATATGTGGAGACCATAGGACTGTCCAGGGGAGTTGGTTTTCTTTTCCCACCATATGGGGCTTGGGGATTAAACTTGGGTTTCAGACCTTGACAGCAGCTGTCAGTTGAACTATTGTCTTAGTTAGAGTCCCATTGCTGTGAAGAAACACCATGACCAAGGCAAACATTATAAGGGCAAACATTTAATTGGGGCTGGCTTATAGTTTCAGACCTTCAGTCTATTATCATGCTGAGAAGCATGGCAGTGTGCAGGCCAACATGGCCCTGGAGAACGAGCTGAGAGTTCTGCATCTTGATCTGAAGGCACCCAGAAGGATATTGTCTTCCTCAGGCAGCCAGGAGGAAGCTCTCTTCAGCACACTTCCTCCAAAAGACCACACCTACTCCAACAAGGCCACACCTACTCCAACAAGGCCACACTTCCTAATCATGCTACTTCCCATGGGCCAAGCATATTCAAACCACCACTACTATTTTGCCAAGATAACAGCTTTACAAGGAGGTGGCATATGATTAGGATTCTAGCTACTGCAGAAGATGAGGTAGAAGGATCATTTGAAACCATGAGTTCAAGACCAACTTACCTCAAAGTCTATAGAAATAGAAGAAGGGAAGAGAAGAGTCAACCAGCTAGGAGAACAGGAAAAGTCCATCTGTTGTGCTGATCACAGAAAGCATAACATTCACATTTTTGGAAAGTCTACTGAGCTATACTTTACATATCTTACAAATCACACATTTAAAGCATATAGTTCAATTTTTCAGTATGTTCACAAAGTTGGATGTTCACAAAGTGATAGTTGCTATTGAAATCCAAAATATCTTCATCATACCCCAAAGAAACTGCATACCTGCTGGTAGTAACTTGGGTCCATTCTCCTCAGCCTCTCAGGACCACTAATATCTTTTGTATAGCTGTGAATTTTTCCTGTTCTGAGTATTTTATACAAAGGGAATCATAGACTATGCATTTTTTTTATATCTTTCACTTAGTGTAATATTTTTGAGGCTTGTTCACCATTGCATCAAGTATCTGTACTTCCTCTATATGATTAAATGATATTCAACAGTCAGAGTATAATACATAAATGTTTATATGCACATTTGTGTATTATCTTGTGGTTTTCTTGATGCTATCATTGTTTTTAAGACGGGTAAAGTCCCAACTCCCTATTCTGCTATTACTGTTGCTTATGCTTTCCGTTCAGATTCACTTTTAATCCTGTTGGGCAACACCCTGAGAGAAAGCCCCAGTCACGTGACCACTTTTAACATCTTAAAGGAATGCCAAGCTGTGTTGCAAAGTGTGCAGTTTTACACCCAATTCTCCATACCCTCTCTCACCCTGGCTATTTCCCCCTTCTTTCTATTGCATCTTATTTGTTTTGTGTGTATATGTGGTGTGTGTGTGTGTGTGTGTGTGTGTGTGTGCATGCCACATGGAGTGGAGTGGGGAAATCAAGGTACCACTGCCTTGAGTTGGTTCCTTCTTCCACCTCGGGGGTCCCAGAGGTTGAACTGCTGTCCCCCAGCTTGGCAATCAGCATATTTACCAGGAGAGCCATCTTGGCAGCCTTTGACTTCCTTCTTTAGTATAAACAGTGTAGTGGTTATGAAGTAGCATCCTACTGTGATTTTTAAATCCATCAATATAGTTATGTCTAGTATCTTTCCATGCTTTTGCCTTTTATATAGCTTCTTGGCTCCATTCAGATGCTGTAGCGACTTCAAAATCAGATTACCTCTTTTTATTGAACTGTAAGATTGGTTTTAATATATTCTACAATTTTTTCTATTGGATGATTTTCAAATATTAAATTCTATACACTTCTCTCATTGTATTCAATATCTTCACTTTTTGATGGTATAATTTACAACACGAATTATTTAAATACTGAACAGAGTCATAGTTGTCTATCAGTTGTTATTGTTGCTTATGCTTTGTTTTTTGTTTGTTTGTTTTGTTTGGGTGGGGTTTTTTTGTTTTTCATTTTTTGGGGTTTTTTTTTTTTGGCTTAGTTTGTTTTTCCAGGCAGGGTTTCTCTGTGTAGCCCTGGCTGTTCTGACACTCACTCTGTAGACCAGGCTTATCTTGAAATCAGAGATCTACCTGCCTCAGCTTCTGAAATGCCAGGATTAAAGGTATGAACCCACCACTGTCACCACCAGGCAAAGGTTTAGCCCAGGCTAGCCTTGAACTTGAGATCCTCTTGTATCTGCTTCCTTCAGCAACTCCTATTGGTGTGTGCCACCACAACCAGCTCAACTATTTAAAAGAGAGGAAGGGGCTGGAGAGATGGCTCAGCGGTTAAGAGCACTGACTGCTCTTCCAGAGGTCCTGAGTTCAAATCCCAGCAACCACATGGTGGCTCACAACCATCCGTAATGAGATTCGATGCCCT